GGGGGGGGGGGGGGTACACATAGGGGTGCTGTGTATGACAGCCTGTGCGATCTCCTGGTGGGAATTAGAGGAGAAGGGGGATCGGTTTGCCATACTGTCATGTTTCTTATAAATTAGCCAATATGGCTGTAATACACACAGGCTGATAGATGACAACACGGTTTGAGTTTTCAATGGCTCCTGATGAACTGGCCACAATTCGTACCGTGGGTGCCACCCTACCACCAGGCATCCCTCCATCAGCTGATCAAAGGAGCTAGTTGGAATATTCTCGGGCGCACAGATCTAGCAGCCGGTCGGGTATTCTGAATACAAGCAAACGGCGCACAAATCGCCCATCGACGCTCGTAAGCATTGGAAGAATTTGTTCTGTTTTTTTCATCAGCCCGCAGGTTGAAGAAAAAAAAAATAGAACTGTGTATACCCCACATAACACGGCATTCTTACGGCAGGGATCCCAGGTGTTCCTTTCAGATGTGGCCGTTGTACACGTTCAAGTAAATGACTGGGTGACAGAGGCCGAATCTGTACGCAGCAGTCTGCATATCACCGCACATTGTATGATTACCTGCGGTTTGGGATATGACTCTTCCTGGACATGTCTTTCATGTATCCAGCAAGTCATCTATCCCAGACTGCAGGTAATCATACAGTGCGGTTATATGTGGACTGCAGCATACAGATATGCGACCGCTGTTGCCCGGTCATTACCTTGAATCAGTACAGCGGCTGCATCTGAACAGGACACCTGGCATTCCTGCCACAGGAATCCATAGACTCTGGCTGCAGGAATCCCAGGGGGCCCTGTGTGAACAAAGCCTCAGGCTTCACTCACACTTGGCACATCCTCATCAGGCAGCCCGTTCTTTTCAATGTGCCGTCCTACTCCTGACATAGCAGCAAAGAAGTGCATTAAGCAGTTTGAACTGCAAGCTTCATGCGTTTTCTTTGTTTTACCATGTTTTTTTTTTCAGGTGCAGAAACGTGTGTCTTGCTTGCAACAATTGGGGACAGTGGCCGGTGGCACAAAGGAATAGCAGGGGGGATTATACTCATAAGCGTTGAAGGAATCTGTTCTATTTTCATTCAGCCCACGGGTTGAACAAAAAAAAAATTGAGCATTTCAGGCTTACTTTTGCAAAGCAATCCACTGTGGTTTTCAACCCCAAAGAGGACGTTACATTTAAAATAGCGTGCTGCGGACCCACTGACTTCAATGGACGCATTTGGCAAGTGGCACCACCTGCCAAACACGGCATGCTGCAAAAACAATTTGGCAAAAAGCACTGAGGCCGCAACCGGGGCGGTAGGTGGGTGGTAAAAATGCAGATCAGCCGCCTGTTTTTGTCACCCCTTTGCTGCATGTGTGATCACAGACTTTGGGAGTTGACATGACAGATTGTGCGGAGATTTATTTCAGTTACCCAATCATGTGAAAAGCAGATTCTGGTTATTTTATTGGCACATGGTTAGAAAATTGAAGTGAATATTCCCACAATTGTGTCAATGTTCTCCACTATTTTACTAAATCCGCCTCATGGTCTCTCTTTTAGAAAGATGGGCACTACACTTAAGCTGGTCTTACACTTTCAGATGTTTCTTGTTTAGCCCACTGAACGAGAAAAATCACTTCCCCATATCTACGCTTTTTAGGCATATCATCTGCCGGCTCTTGTATTCTGACAGCCGCAGGCTGATTGGCTGCACTCTGTTCGGTGACAATTTTTGGCCAACTTCAACCAAAGCCAATTTATAAATGAACTTTGGTTGAGACGCCCAGTGGTACCAGCAGAAAGCTTTGCCTGATTTAGCAGGAGACAGAAGAAATGTAATACATGTATGGCCAGCTTTAGCACTTGACAGCTCAGGATACCTACAGTCGTGTGAAAAAGAAAGTACGCCCTCTTTGAATTCTGTAGTTTTAGGTATCAGGACATAATACAAAAAAATCATCTGACCCTTGGTCAGGTCTTAAAATTAGGTAAATATAAGCACGGATGAACAACAACACATGACATATTACATCTTGTCATTATTTATTTTACAAACGTAAAACCAAAATAGAGAAGCCATGTGTGAAAAACTAAGTACACCTTATGATTCAATAGCTTGTAGAACTACCTTTAGCAGCAATCACTTGAAGTAATCCTTTTCTGTATGACTTTATCAGTCTCTCTCATCATGGTGGAGGAATTTTGGTCCACTCTTTTTTACAATATTGCTTCAGTTGATTGAGGTGTTTGTAGTTCTATGTTGTGTTTGATTTTTGCCAAACGTGGCACTGTGCCTTATGGCCAAACATCTCCACTTTGGTCTCGTCCGTCCAAAAGACATTGTTCCAGAAGTCTTGTAGTTTGTTTTGCTGCAACTTTCCAAACCTAAGCTTTGCTGCCATGCTCTGTCCTGCAATGCAAGACAGTCGGCTTTACACATGTAAACAGAGTATCCCCCGGGAGTCTGTATAAAGGGGCCCGCTCCAGCGATGTATGGGATACGTCGGTGGCAGCGAAAGGATTAAATTGTTTCAAAATGGCCTTATTACCCTTCCTAGGTTGCTGGGCAGCAACAATTGCTTCACTTAGATCATTGCTGATGTATTTCCTCCTTGAAATTGTGTCAACACACACCTGAATGCTCCAGACCAAAAACCTGGGCTTTTATAGAGGTGGTCACACTTGCTGATAATCAAGGGCATTCGAATAGCAGCACCTGACTGCTGCTTGGGCTCCTATGGAAGCAGTAAGGGTGTACTTAGTTTTTCACACATGGCTTCTGCATTTTGGTTTTATGTTTGTAAAATAAATAATGACAGTGTAATATGTCATGTGTTGTTGTTCATCTGAGGCTGTATTAAGCTACTTTTAAGACCTGTTAAGGACCAGATGATTTTTATGATGTCCTGATATGTAAAACCATAGAATTGAAAGAGGGCGTACTTTCTTTTTCACATGACTTTGTCACTGCCCTTTTTGCTTTCAGGAACGACAACTTGACAGTAAAGCCTTCTACTGTGTTTTGTTGTTTTAACCCCTTCACCACCCCATGGCAGGATGATCCTGTCATGAAGTTAGAAAGGGTTAAACAGACTCCCGCCAGGAGTTTATTCAGTTTTGCAGAGGCGGCTGTCGGCTTTACAGTAGAAGCGATTCTGGCGGCTCAGCTGCTGCCAGATCGCTTCTATGATCCGGTAACTGGGCCACCCGACACCCCCGCCGTGTTTCCTGTGCACCACTGCCCCTCTCTTGGGCCCAGGACCAGCTTGTTGGCTGTCGGCGGGAAGCTGGGGAGGAGATCGGTGACCATCCGTTCACTGATCTCCTCCCTGTTCTATGGCAGAGGGAGCGACATGTATTGCATCACTTCTGGTCGCATAGCTGTCATTGCTTGGCTCCTGAAGCCCGGCAATAAGCTATTGAAGTGCAATCTGTACTTCAATAGCTTATTTAAAGTGGAAAGGTGATACTAGGGGTCTTTTGGACCCCCAGTATCATCGTAAAGAGGACCTGTGATCACCAATATGCTATCACATGGGGGGCTTGTGAGCCCCCCTATGTGATAGCAATTAAAGTAAAAAAAAGTTTTAAAAATATTAAATTAAATGTAAAAATTCTGAAAACATTTTTTTAAAAGTCCCCTGCAAGCACGCGAGTCGTCATGTAAACACGAGTCAGGGTGCACCTACGTACAAAAATGATGATCGTGCTACATGATGTTGGGTATCGCCGCACACGCCGGAGTGAGAGCAATAATTCTAGGGCCAGTAGTTACACGCATCTCTAAACTGATTACCTGTAGGGGATTTTAAAAGCGTCGTCTATGGACTTTTTGGGGTACTGATTTCTGTCGCAGTTTCACAGACAAACACAATTTTAACCTGGGCATGTTGGATGTCTATTTACTCGTTGTAACCTCATCTTTTACATTTTAGAAAACAAAATGTTTTTATATAGTGTTTTGGGGCACTAAATCTAACTTAAGTGCATTTTTTACAAAATGTTGGGGTTTGATAATAATTTGAGCTAATGTCGTGCAATATAAACAATTTGCAACTGCCACCAGTTTATTCTATAGGGTCTTGGCTTTCAGAAAATAATGTTTGGGAGTTTAAAGTAATTTTCAGGCCTAAAATGTGGATTATAACATAGGTGCAACATTTTTTTTCAAAAAGGCTTTGGTCGTCCTTAAGGGCTTAACAGGATAGCAACCATGTGATTCACAGACGCTCTTGAACATACACAAACTGTGGGCATGCAATAGAAATAATAGACACATTTATCTCATTCACAGACACAGGTTACGCTGATCATAATAATCTGCAATTATGCGCAGTTTGCGCAGCGTTTTACAATATAAGGAAGACATTATGATACAAGACAAGATGATAAGGAGGGCCCTGCCCCTGAGGGCTTAAAATGTCCTGCCCTTAGACTCATGGTGACAGATAAGTATCATTTTTGGATGTGCACAGTGAGGTCTGGCACAAATCGTAAAGTTGCAGTTACTTGTCACCTGATGTCTCCAAAACACTAAAGTATGACCACCTATGTCCACAGCATGAGTGCACTACCAGCTCCTGACCACTGCCTAAGTGGCTGTCCCAATAGTACACTGTTAAGATCCTTCAATCAGATGGCACAATTCAGCTTGCCATTTTATCTTGTTCAGGGCCGCAGGCATTGGGCTTGTAACGATTCCTAGTAAAACTTGTATTTTCAGTTGAAGTGATTGGTAAGGCTGCTAATTGTCACTGCTTGAGTGTTTGTACTGATAAACATGCATTTTGCTTTCTTGGTAGCATACTCTCTGGATGGACTTCTGGTCTTCTCATTGCTTTTTGTCTGCACCTGCGCTTATTTCAAGAAGGTTCCACGATTGCGCAATTGGCTTTTGTCTGAAAAGAAAGGTGTTTGGGGAGTCTTCTATAAATGTAAGTGAACATTACAACAGTAATGGTTTCTTAATAATGAAGTACTTATTCAAGTAGTTAATCTACCATTAAGAAATTGCTTCTTTGATGGTTAAAGGAAGTCACGTTTGATCACATACAGGTGAAACTCGAATAATTAGAATATCGTGCAAAAGTAATTGCAGTAAGTGCTGCAAAAGGGGCCCAAACCAAGTACTGAGTACATATGCATGCTTGTACTTTTCAGAGGTCCGATATTGTTCTATGTACAATCCTTGTTTTATTGATTGGATGTAATATTCTCATTTTCTGAGATTGTGGATTTGGGGTTCTTGGGGTTTTCATGAGCTGTAAGCCATAATCATCACAATTATGACAAATCACGGCTTGAACTATCTTGCTTTGCATGTAATGAGTCTATCTCATATATTAGTTTCACCTTTTTAAGTTGCATTAGTGAAATAAATGAACTTTGCACGATATTCTAATTATTCGAGTTTCACCTGTATCTGAAAGAGGGGGTACCTGTATTGACTTTAGCAACCAACCAGATTCTTTCTTTTATAGTGTAAATTTATTCTTAAAGTTGACATTTTAAATTGTTTTCCGTAGGCAGCACAGGTCATTTTGAAATGTTACCATTCATATGGCGCAATTTATCTTTCTTTATTATTCATTGAGGGACACAGTAATGTAGTAATTTACAGGCATTTGGGTTATACAGCTGCCTTCAGGAGGTTTGGACACGGCCAAACAAAATGTTAGACAATCCCACATATAACGGTGCCTCCAACCATCAGGCCTCATTTTTTTTTTTCTAGTGTCCCGGCAGGTTGAATTCCTATTCTTCTGCTCTTTTGAGAAAAACTATTATTTTGCATCTTTCTTTGCTACGTTGAAATATTTTTCTCTGTAGGTTGTCAAGGTTTTGAGAAAAACTGTGACATTAAACTCAGGAGTTAAATCTTAAAAGTACCTCAACTATTAACAAAAATTGTGAATCGATTGATCAACTAATCGATAATGAAAATAGTTGACAACAATTTTCATTATCGCTTATTATCGACTCAGTCGATTAGTTGTCCTAGTTAGCCTTGAAATTTATTTTTTCTTTTAGGTGCTGGGCTGCATTGCGGCATTTTCCAGACTTGTGGCCAAAAAAAACATCAACAGCTGTAGTATATTTGTAAAGATAAAGCTTACAGAGTAAATTTTTCAGTTTATCTGTCCTCAGTGCAAAGCCTAGATTCTAACAATGGTTTCCTGTTACAATGTGTCAGATGATGTGAAAATACAGTTAGAATATTCAGAATGGATTTGACAGAATGCCATCGTAACCTGTATTTTATGTTTGTTTTCTAGCTGCAGTGATCGGATCTCGTCTGCACCTGGCTGTCTCCCTGTCCTGTTTTGGGATGGCCTTTTACGTACTGTTTATAAAGTGAAATGATGTTCCCATCAACTCATCTCTATGTTGCATCCCCAGCAAATTGGGACCAGGAGCAAATAACGCAGGAACAGATGGAAACATTGCAACATTTGACTGTATATATACTTTCACATTACTGCAGTAGTTTGTGGTGCTGGGAGTATAACATGAAGAGTATAATGTGGCCGGTTGGAGACGTTCTGTCTAAATGCTCTGCTGATTTTCTTTTATTATGTTTTTTCCTATTTTTAATAGACAGTGTTCTGCAGTTTGGTATAATAACAGGTTAAGCGGTTAATAGATTTTTGCACTTTTCACTCTTACAATGTTATTGACAAAACTGCGGCTAAATTATTTCCTTCTCTGTGACAATTTTAGAACCTTTTTTAGGGTTACAAATTAGCTTTATCCATGCCTTTGTGCACTCTCAATAATATTATTATTAAATATGAAAACACAATTTGTAGAGCCTATTGTGAAAATTATTCATTATTGCTAAGCGTGTGTGTGTGTAAACTGGAAAACTAGGTAAATCATGGCAGACCTTAAAGTGGACTTGAGCTCAAACAGAGAAGATGGTCATGCCCTATAGGGGACATTTTAGAAATGGTGAATGTGTCTAAGTAGAGGAACGGTACCCTAAAAGATCTAATTTTCTCTCTTATTCATTGAGGGACACAGCAATTCAGAGAGTGTCGGTTTATACTGTTGCCTACAGGAGGATTGGACACTGGCAAACAAAATAAATTGTGGGCAAGCTTGGTATGACCCCTTCTACTCCCAGCATGGCTTTGGGTTTTTTTTTCCATTTAAGAATCCTGCTGTGTTGCTGCTGTCCTATATGCAGCTGCCGTCAGCCACCATGACCTTACCTGACGCAGAGTCTCTTACTGTATGCACCTACATTGGTGAAATTGCAGTCTTCTGTCACCACTATAGAACTAAAGACCATTGCAGCCCTCATTTTAAAAAAAAATACTTTTTATTAATTTTTTTCCAGGTAGGCATACATTCTTACAAACATCTCCCACCGGAGTGGGGGCAAAATCTTAATACATCAATTATACATAACATCCTTCCCAAACCACCCCCCCAGATGCACGTGCCAGATCAAGTTTTAAAGTTGCCGTTATCCCAACTGTAAGCTGCTTAGTGTCCTAGTGTCAGAGCATACTGTCATCTCCCACCGCCCCCATCAGAAGAAGTACGGTCTTGCGTAAAGATGGAGAGGGACCCATCATACGAGAAGACGACAGCTCATTAGTCATTTCAGCCCTTATTGACACAGTAAACACCACCTTAATACTTGTGGATCAGCCTGTAGCTTCTATCACTGCTGACCCCAGCTCTTTCATGGCTCCCAAGGCATTCAAGACCTTTCTGATGCAGCTGATATTCTTAGTCTTCCTTTTATGGAGACTGCAGGAAAGCTGACAAGTTGTTTGACCACCCAAACACCTATCAACACCTATCAGCCTTGTACCTGTTTGAGGGGGATTTTTTTTTTTTTTAACCAAGGGAAAGAGTACCCAACTTCCGCAGCAGAATACGTCCTCCAATTTCAGCTCCATGCACAAACCCTGGACTTCCAATTCACTGAAACTCTTGGATAAATCTTATTCAGGATGAGCGAGCACTGCCTTTTTCCAAAGTGGAGGGACATCTGATAGCCTTTGCGGATTACCAGGTCTCTAAGTGGCCTTAGCAGTTCTGGAACAGGGTGCTATTGCTCCCGTCCCTGTGGCAAACAGTTCCAGGGGTTCTACTGCACCAATCCTGCCATAGATTCTCTTTATCAGGAAGACTTTCTGGCCTCTGGATTTCAGGAATGCAAACCTGCAGGTTCCTATTTTTTTAGATCATCAGTGGATCCTTCACTCTGTTATGGGCCCCCTTCCACTCCTAGGCGATTTGGTTGTTTATGCAGTACTGGATATCCCAACTGGAGGGCCATCCAATCCAGATCAGTCTGGACATTGCCAAGGCCGTGGCATACATCAATAATCAGAAATCTCATTGTGTCAAGAGAAGTAGAAGATATCCTTTCCTGGGCAGAACTTCACATCCCAGTCTTGTCTTGTCCAATTGGCAGGCAGACTTCCTCAGGAAGAACACCTGGAAGTGTTCCAGGACATGTCGCCTCCTAGCATCCAGGTTCAACAACAAAGTGGACAGGCTTTTAACCAGGTACAAAGATCCTCCGGTGGAAGCAGTGGATGTTCTAGTAGCTCTGTGGGATCAGGACAGCCTTCTCTGTGACACTTTTCCCTCATCACCACAGGATTGAGCTTAAGGCCATTTTGGTTTTCCTCATAGCTCTGGATTGGCCCAGGCAGATGTGTTATTCCACCGGCTCACACTACCGCAAGATGCTCGGTGGGCTTTTCCAGATCCTCAGAACCTTCTGTCTCAAGGACCAGTTCATCATCCTGGATTTAAAGGCCGGGCTGTTGAAGCCCATGCCTTAAGGAACAGGGGTATTACCAAATCAGTGATTCCCACAATGTTAAAAGCCAGGAAATGTATGTCCTGCAAGGTCTACCAACACACATGGGAGGCATACTTCTCTTGGTATAAGGATATAAGCTTTTATCCCATGAAATACTCAGTGGGACAAATCATCACCTTTTTGCAATCAGTTCTAGATCAACTGTTGACCCTATTACCATGAAGGGCCAGATCCTCAGCACTTGCAGTCTTGTTCCAAAGACCATTAGCCTCCCATTCTTTAAGACCTTTGTTCAGGGGGTGTCATGTTTTTTTTTTTTTTTTTTATTCTGTGCCCCTCTTGATACTGTATGAACAATTTGCTCATTGAGGTAAATATTGGACAGCTTGGTATAGTCTATTGAATTAAGTAATTGTGGTTTGTGCTAATGTTTAGCTACAGTACGTTTGGCTTTTTTTTTTTTTTTTTTTTAATCCATGACCCTTTGGGGATCTGAATTTGGATCTCTCGGCACTTCAAGAACAATTTTTGTTTCAATTTTCTCATCCCTGATGCTCCCCATAAAGGTAAACCATCGTCTCACTATAACATTTCATAGTGGCTCAGAAAGATCATTATCCAAGGTTATGGTCTTAAGCATTGGTTTTTGCCCTTCCATGTCAAGGTGTACTCTACTAATTCTGTGAGATATGCCAGATACTGAGAAGCCTAAGAAGCAGTTTCAGATATGCAAGGCTGCCACCAAGTCTTCTGTTTATCTGTTTACAAGTTTTCTACTTTTTACCTGGTGGAAGTTTTGGCCTCATCTTATGCCTGTCATAGGCTTTGGGCCACTATTTGAGCTTCAGGCAGCCCCAAGTTCTGCTGTTGTATGGGCCTGTTGATGTTCTGTTGTCGCTGCCCATCCCTCAGTTGGATTGCTTTTGATTGTCCCTGGATCCTGTGTCCCTCAATGAATAAGAAAGAAAATTGGACCTGCGTACTTTCGGCAAAATCCATTTCTTGCAGTTTATTGAGGAAAACTGATCCCACCCCCTCTACTTATTATTACATAGTATTTATATATAGTGCCAACAGTTTGCACAGCGCTTTACAATACAAGGAAGACATTACCATCACAATTCAAGACAAGATGGTAAGGAGGGCCCTGCCCCTGGGGGGTTACAATCTAAAAGAGGAGGGGGAAGTGATACATGAGGAGGTAGCTGTGTGGGGATGAATTATTTGAGAATGTAATGGTTCAGTGGTTAGGTCGAGGTGGTATAGGCTTCGCTGAAGAGATGAGTCTTTAGGGAACGCCTAAAGGCAGTCAAGGTGGGAGATAGGACAGGTTGGGGTAAAGAGTTCCTATGGTATTGGTGGGGGGGATATTGGGCATGCTGTGAGTGAAAGGTGTCATACTAGGCTGCTCATGGGGGGGGGTGTTTAAGTCCTTTTGTAGGCAGTTGTATAACCCAACTGTCTCTGAATCTTGTGCCCCTTTTGATACCTCCTGGAAAAATAGCAGTGGAATTCCTGTATTTGCCAACAGTCACATACATAGCTGGATATCTGCAATGTGAAATCTAAGGCACTGTGTACCTTTCATTACTAGCCGCTGGGGGGGGGGGGGGTGGGAAGAGAG